GATGTCAAACATTTTTTCGTTATTATTATAAATATTTAAGTTAATAATTTATTTATCACCTAGATTCAACTTCAACGCGAAGTTGATTTTCATGATAATGTTATTCGTTTTTATGGGGTTACAGCTTCTATTAAGGGTATGATAAGTTCTAATATTTATAATATTATACAATAATTAATTAATTAATTTATAAAAATTTTTTTTTTAAGACAATCAAAAAAAAGAATATTCATTAGTGATAGAATATGCATGCAGAAAATGGTACCCTCCGAAAATATTTAAAAGAAAATTTTGAAAATCTCACTTGGAACAATAAATTTAATCTTGCATCCCAACTGGCTTATGCAGTATCATGTTTACACGGTGAAGGGATCATGCACCGCGATTTAGTAAATATATTACAATTTAATTAGTTATTTTATTTTATTGATGTTTTGTCTTAATGCTGGTTCAATATTGATAGCACTCCAATAACGTGTTAGTCCATCAGAATATTATTAAGCTAGCAGATTTTGGTTTATTAAAAAGAATTGAGGAAACATCCAACTCTCAATCGAGAACATTTGGATTAATTCCTTATACTGATTCAAAAAGCTTTAATGGAAGTGCATATTTATTAAACAAAAAAAGTGATGTTTACGGCGTAGGTGTATTACTATGGGAAATATCCAGTTGTCAGCCTCCTTTTCATGGTAAACGATGTGATGCTGGTTTAGCCTTGAATATTTTACAAGGCCTTAGAGAGACACCCATTCATAATACACCAGAAGAATATATAAGTATTTATACTGGTAAATACAATTTAAACTATCATAACTTATAAATAATGTCAGTTTTAATTAATTAAAAGCATTCTTTTTTTGTAGCTTGTTGGAATGTTAAACCTGATAATCGTCCAACTATCGATCAAGTGGTTAATAAATTAGATAAATTAAAGGCAAAACAAAATATAATTATAAAAGATTTTCACTTATATAATAATGACAATGATATACAATCATCATATAACTACCAGTCTAATTCAGATGTAATTTCTGAAAATATTGATTCATCACATGGAAATTTATCTCAAATTATTCAAAACTTCAATATAATGAATACAAAAGAAATAGAATCTTCAATGTCATCAGGTAACCTATTTGAGAATAGCTTTGATACTATAGTTAATGATATAATTAATTATCTTGTTGGTGATAGTATTGAAGTAGGAAAACAAAAAGTCCTAAATTATCTTAATAACCATAATATAACTTTACAGGACTTTAATAATTTATTATTAAATAATCAAAATAACTCAAATTCTATTTACTTACTTGGAAAATTTAATGACTTAGGAATTGGAATCTGTGCTGATAGTCAAAAAGCATTTGAGTTTTATCAAAAAGCAACAGATTTAGGAAATGCATTTGGAATAAATGAGTTAGGATATTGTTATGAAAAAGGAATTGGAACTAATATTGATAAGAAAAAAGCATTTGAATTATATCAAAAAGCAGCAGATTTAGAAAATTCATTTGGTTTATATAATTTAGGAGTTTGTTATGAAAAAGGAATTGGAACTAATATTGATAAAAAAAAGCATTTGAATTATATCAAAAGGCTGCAAATTTGGGAAATTCATATGGAATAAATAGTTTAGGACATTGTTATCAATATGGAATTGGAACTGATATTGATAAGAAAAAAGCATTTGAACTATATGAAAAGGCTGTAGTGGATTCAGAAAATTCATTTGGAATGATTGATTTAGGTTATTGTTATGAAAATGGAATTGGAACTGATACCAATAATAAAAAGGCATTTGAATTATATCAAAAGGCAGTAGAATTAGGAGACACATCCGTAATAACCAACTTAGGATATTGTTATGAAAAAGGAATTGGAACTGATATTGATAATAAAAAAGCATTTGAATTATATCAAAAAGCAGCAGATTTAGAAAATTCATCTGGGATGTATAATTTAGGAGATTGTTATGAAAAAGGAATTGGAACTGATATTGATAATAAAAAAGAATTTGAATTATATCAAAAAGCAGCAGATTTAGAAAATTCATCTGGGATGTATAATTTAGGAGATTGTTATGAAAAAGGAATTGGAACTGATATTGATAAGAAAAAAGCATTTGAATTATATCAAAAGGCTGCAGATTTGGAAATTTATATGGAATAAATAATTTAGGAAATTGTTATCAATATGGAATTGGAACTGATATTAATGAGAAAAAAGCATTTGATTTATATCAAAATGCAGCAGATTTAGAAGATGCATTTGGAATGAATAATTTAGGATATTGTTATGAAAATGGGATTGGAACTGATATTGATATGAAAAAAGCATTAGAATTATATCAGAAAGCGGCAGATTTAGAAAATTTATCTGGAATGTATAATTTAGAAGATAATTATGAAAAAGAAATTGGAACTAATATTGATAAGAAAATGCATTTGAATTATATGAAAATGTAGCTGCTGAATTAAGGAATTCATTTGGAAAAAATAATTTAGAAAATTGTCATCAACATGGAATTGAAACTGATATTGATGATAAGAAAAAAGCATTTGAATTATATCAAAAGGCAGCAGAATTAGGAGATGCACTTGGAATAACCAACTTGGGATGTTGTTATGAAAATGGAACTGGTACTGATATTGATAAGAAAAAAGCATTTGAATTATATCAAAAGGCTGCAGATTTAGGAAATTCATTTGGAATATATAATTTAGGAAATTGTTATCAACATGGAATTGGAACTGATATTGATAAGAAAAAAGCATTTGAATCATATCAAAAGGCTGCAGATTTAGGAAATTCATTTGGAATATATAATTTAGGAAATTGTTATCAACATGGAATTGAAACTGATATTGATAAGAAAAAAGCATTTGAATTATATCAAAAGGCTGCAGATTTGGGAAACAGTTTAGCTCAATATTGTCTTGCTGTGATGTATGAGAATGGGGAAGGAACTGCTAAAAATATAGCTAAAGCAATTTATTGGTACAAAAAACAGAATACTTGAGATAATTTAGAGAAATCTAAAATTAGAAAATAAGGAACAATTTATGTAAAGTAAATTAATAATATTTATTCAAGTATTTTTCAAAATAAAAATGCTACTGTAATAGAAATACTATTTTATAATAAAATTTGTTCTAATAAATTTGTTAAATGTTATTTTTAATAACTGTTATATTGAAATTTATCATATATAATTTATAAAATCCAAGTAATCATGATAAATTGGTTGATATATCAGAAATATCTTATATTTCAGAATTATTGTTTTTAATAAATTTTATATAAAACTTGCATTAGCAGTTAGAATCAATTGTATTAAGATTTGCAGAAAAATAAGCTATTTTAAATTTAATTAAAGATCACAATACTTTATATTACTGATTTTTTTTATTTAAAAGAGAATTTTGCTAAAGGATCTTTGGATAAAATGTGTCATTTTACCAAAACTATAACTTTTTTATATAAAGATAGAATAAACTGAGTAACTGACTTCAAAACCATCCGATTTGTTAAGATTTTTTCCAGAAATGTTGACATTCAGTGTGCCCACGAGTCTTCCGAGTCTACCAAAATTGTCACCTCACGTGACCAATAAATTTCGATTACCTTTTTTGTATTAGTTTGTTTTTAATTATATTTACATTGCGAAACACGATAAAATACAATTTTTTCTGACTTTATTTTTTGATGAACATGTCCAGCTTAAGTTTGTTCAGGCTGTTATATAAAAAAAAATATAAATGAGTTTTTAAGTAAAAGTATTATAAGAGCAACTTGTAATAGTTGTGGAAATAGAAATTTAAATATAAAAAAAAGAAAAATAAGACAAAGAAGCGCTTATTTGATAATAGAGAAAATAACAGACTACCTAGTCAGCTTTTTAATATCGTTTATGGGTATTTATTAGAAACAAATGAAACAAGTGAGTTTTTAAAAATTAAGGTACTCGATTTATTATAGGAGAAATTTTACATATAGAACCTTTATTTAAAGAGTTGCCGAATACAATAACTGAAGAAGAAAATACAGTCAACTCACAATATAATGAACCCTCCAGTTTTCACCTCAATTCGTTATAAGGCTATACAGTATATAATGAAGAATTTTAAAAAATTTAATTGGTTGCTTCATTTTATTTATTTTATTTATTTTATTTTTACTTCAGAAAGGCAAATACACTAGAGAGATACTAAAACATTATGTGTAGAAACTAGACATAAAGAATATTGATCTAAACTAAGTGTACAAAATCTAACAGGCAGACTCGCCCTTCGTTGGAACGACCTGACTAATGGAGAACTAGTCGCCATAGCAGTGAAAGAACAAAGGGGATTAAACACTATAGTAAATACAAGGGGAAAGAGAGGAGTCAGAAAAATTAAAACTACTTGCAACCAGTTCTGAACCAAAAGAAAAATCTAAAAATTGAAATCACGGTAAATTATGTAAGAAGTAAAATAGATCCACATGACTTTATTGTCACGTGATCTCAAATCATCACTGTTTGGACACCGATATTGCCAAACAGGATGTGCGTTACGTAAATTAATAACGTCTGAGTCATCTGATGATGTGTGCAAACTATCTTGATCTTTTTTTCGTCGGTAATTTATGAAACTTTTTTTCGTTATGTTGTTAGCGCTTTTCCAGGCTTTCAAGTGTGAACATCGCAATTTCCAAATCGATTTATAGATTTCTGCATGTATAACGAGAGTTATTATCGTATTTGATTGGTTAAATGTCACATGATTCGTTATATGTTATATTGAGAGTTGACTGTAATAAAGAAATTGCTAATAGAATTTTCAAAAGTGAATATCAATATGTATGTCACTCTAAACATATACAAAAATTACAATTTTATTTCACGGTTCAAAATAGAGAAAACTATTTAACAGACCAACAAAAATGAATATGTGTGTTCTTGTCGACTAATTGTTTTTTATTATGTAAACATTTTTGTTGTTCCGATTGGCAAAATGGAAACACATTTTTTTAAAAAGGTTAATTTGTTTAAATATATTTTATTTTTATTCAATTGTATTTTTATTTTATTTTAATAGGTTCAAAGAAACAGAACCCATCCTTTAATATTTCAGCCTAATATAACAATTTGGCAGGAACTTGGAAACCAACATATAATGAATGAATCTAATATATCTAATATTAATTCTATTTTGACAATGGAAAATTCAAATAATGAGGATGATGAATATACAGAATTCTGTGAAAATACAATAATCAAATTTAAGAATTTATTAAGAGAGGTGATTTTATTTTTAAAAACTAATGAATAGGTTTATTATTTAAAAATATATTAATGATTTCTTTATAGACACAAGATCTTTTAGATGAATCTATCAATTTACCTCAGAGAAAAAAGTGGTGGGAAACATCTCTTCTACGAATGGTTCAACAAATAAAAGAACATAAACGTCGATTAACAATGCCGAGAACATGAAAGGATAAAACTAAAAACACATTTTATTGGTAATTATAGCAATTTTTACAATATTATATCAATCGTTAAAAAGGTTAAAAAATTAAAATTTTTTGTTAAAAAAATAATTATTTTGTTAAGTTAAAAAAGTTTAAACTTTTTAAATTTTTTCGTCTAAGTCGTTTAAAAATCATAAACAAGTCACGTGAAAGCAACAAATTTATTGTGCGAGTTAAATTTTCGGCTGCAATCGATGTTTCCAAAGTTTTCCATCGTCTAATTTCGGACCACTACTTTTTGGCTTGACTAGTACATTAAGAAGATCTGATTGATATAATTTATATTTTCTCATGCCTATGCAATTATTTTTGACATAGTAGATGATAATGATTTTGTTGATGAAGATAAGGAAATCTACAGCAGTTGTACTTCAGTTATTTGACTGATCATAGAACATTTGGTAGAATCTAGTAGTATCAGATTTCATCATCAACTATAAATGAGTGTTAATTTTTCGACAACATTATAGTATAATAAAGCAATTATAATGATACTCCAGTTACTTTATACTATACTATAATATCATGATAATTCTACTCATCTGGATATTGTTAGATTAGATAGTTAAATTTAATATAACGATATAAATACAAGTATATAGCATAATTCAATTAATATATTGACGGTCTTTATTAGTGTTATAGTGAAAGTTCAATATGACGACTTTATTGAAATTTTATTTATATGATGATGATATGAAAATATGATGGAAAGTACGAAGCAATTATAAAAACATACTGTAAATCATTTATTCACCAAATTGTAATATTGTATGTTAAATATGGCTAGTATACTAGACATAAACAGCAGGTAAAATTTACACAAATTTGGATGTTTTCTTTAAAAGTTAAACATAGATTTTCAATGAAAGCTAAAAATGGTTGGTTGTCTTTCTAAAAAAGGAAACTACTTGAAGACAAATTTTATTGTTTTCTGTTTGTTTAGCCAGTCAGTCAGCTCATTAAAAAACGTAATATAAAGAGATTAAATTTTTCGACCAAAATTAAAATAATCACATTTAATTTTTCACCCAAAAAAAAAATATATAAATTTAACTAAACCAAAAGAAAACAAAAATGAAAAACTTCCTTTTTTTAAAAAAAAATTAGTAACCTGGAGTGGAAATAACCATTATGTAAAATACATTAATACTTTCTAATTATTTAACATTAAATAAAATTTTTTATCATTTTGTTTCGCATAAATTTAACTACCTAAATAATTAAGTAAAACTAAAATTATTTTTTATTATATTATTTTTACTGTTCCATACCAAAAAAGACAAATTCTTTTATTTTTAAAAAAAAATTGGTAATCCATCATAATGATCAGATTTAATTATTTTTCACCAAAAAAATATATATTTTTAATATAGTGTTGCATAATAGTCATGATTTATTATTGTTTACTAGGAAAACTGAAACCGTCAGCGGTAGGAAATTAAATCATTAAAATATATACAATAATAGCAAATTTAAAAGGGGAAAACGTGTCAGAACATCAAGAAACTTCAGACAAACGTAATTATCCTCAGCTAAAACTTCGGACAAATAAGAATATGTTTGTGTTTATTGTTTATTATAAAAGAAATAACATTGATTATAAATTTCTTACCATATTTAAATTATAGTAATTTTTACATTGATAGTTAGGTAATAATAGTTCATGTAAAATAGTAATAGAATATTTTTTATTAAATTAGACGAATTTATTATATATTTAATATTTTTTTTTGCAAACCTAATGTAATAATAAATAATTATGATCAACAGTTATTACGAAAGGAATTTTTTTCAAAAAGAGTATTATATTTGTTTTTTTTTGCATGCTCTAATTTGTTGAAATTCAGTGTCAAATTAAATTTAACTGGCACATTATATAAAACGTCTTTCAATCATAAAGTATTAATACTAATTCTATTATTTATTATTATTATAGATACTACACCAAAAATGCATGATAATAGATTTTATTATTTGTTAACATTTAAAGTTCCCTGCCATGTTTTAATGTTTATTTGTTAAATTATGCATTTTGCTGAAATTTAATTTATTTTTAATGATTTTATCCATTTTTTTTTTTTTCAAAATAAAACAAAAAAAGACTTTTTATCCAGATAATAGGGAAAACCTGGTAATTTTATTCGGATAAAGACCATAAAGACCGCACTATCAGGATGAACATATTTGTTTGGATCCAGATCCAGATTACTTGCAGTAAAACAAAACAATTATATTATACACTTTTTACAATATCTTATTTCTGATATTCATTCTATTTTTGGATTTCTAGTCGTCACACAAATGTCATTGAAACCAAATTCAATTAAATTTGTTTCACTTACACATCACACAAAATTTGCGGGATGTAACCTTTTTTCTTTTTTTCCTTTCATGTCGATCATAAACATTTCTCCCCCTAATTTTTAACAATCAAAAACAAAAAAAAAAAAAACCTTTTGTTTCCCCAAAAAGGAAATTTATTATTGAATCTTATGGTAATTCAAATGAAGATCAATGATAATTAAGTAATGATTGTCAATGGAGAAATTTTTAAAGTATGATCGACTTAAAATATGCAGACAAAACTCTATAAAAAAAAAAATTATTATTTTATTATTTTTTTTTTTGATATTAAACAAAACTTTATTTATTTATTTATTTATTTTTATCAATATGTCAACGAATAGTAAAGAACAAACTAACAATTCCGATTATATTGATTGGATAGAAAAAGCAATTGAAGATAATTATATTACATATTTTGATTATGATGAATTTACAAATAAACAAGAATTCGAAAATAGTGATACTAGTTCGGTTGGAAAAATATTTAAAGCAAATTATAAAAACAATGATACTCCTTTGATCGTAAAAACATCTAGATTAGATATTAAAAAATTTATAAATGAGGTATTTTAAAATTTTAACATATTTTATATATATTAATAATTTTCACAAAAATCCTATTAATCAAAATCTATAACAGCTTAAAATCCGGAAGGAAGTTGATTTTCATACAAATATTTTACAAATTCATGGGATTTCAAAATTTGACAATCAGTATTCATTAGTTTTGGAGTACGCTGATGGTGGAACATTGTATTCGTACTTAAAAGAGAATTTCACTAAGCTTGAATGGAATGATAAATATCGTTTAGCGTTACAACTTGCAAGCGCTATAGAATGTATTCATAATAAAGGAATAATCCATTGTGATCTGGTACGTACAATATATTATTTAATATTTTTTTATTTATCTAATACATCTCACTAATACGAAAATTAATGATGATAATAATTAACCTTTAGCATGCACACAACGTGCTAATACATAAAAACGATATTAAAGTAGCAAACTTTGGCTTAGCTAAGAAAGCATCTGAAGCATCAAATTATTCTATTGAAGTATATGATTTACTTCCTTATATAGATCCAAGAAACTTGAGTAATATCAAACATAGAGATCAACCCTGTATAATGGATTTCAAATCAGATATTTATAGTATAGGAGTTCTTCTCTGGTTACTATCAAGTGGTCGAAAGCCTTTTTGTGATGAAGGTATACAATACGATGCTCGTTTAGCCATGGATATAGTAGGTGGAAAAAGAGAGGAGATTATCAAGGGTACGCCTATTAAATATAGTAATATCTATAAAGGTAAAATATTATTAATTTTTATAACACGATTGGATGGTTTATGTAACGTATTAATGATGTATAATTCTAATTTAATTTTTTTTTTTTTTTAGCGTGTTGGGAAAATGATCCTGATGAAAGGCCATCCATTCAAAAAGTCGTTTCATACCTTACATCATATCAAGATATTAATGAAGAAACAAATTCTATCAAATTTGAAAAAAAAAATGAAATTAAGAAAGGAGCATCAAATAAGGATTTTGATTACATCATGATAGATGATGATTTAATTATAGATGAAGACATTTTAAATTCTATTATACAAAATGATTTACAAAATGATTTATTAATTAATATAACAGATTCTGATGACATTGAAAAAATTATTAATAAGTTGATAGACCATTTAATCAAAATGCATGATGAATTTGGTTATGGTTTTGCAGAAGTAAAACAAATTATTGAACAAAATATTAAAAATATTAATCAAACCTTACTAAATAATATTCCTAATTGGCTTAAAAATCAAACATCATCACCTAAATATAATTTCTTTCATGGTTTTCTTTATTTTAATGGAATTATTGTAAAGAATAATGGAGATAGAGCATTTGGATTATTTTCTAAATCATCAAAAGAAAATTATCCTATGGCTCAAGTTTATTTAGGTAAACTGTGTACAGTTCCTAAAATTCAAATTGATTGGTATCAAAAATCGGCAAAAAATGGAAATAAACTTGCAGAATTTTATTTAGGTAACTGGTATGAAAATGTTAAAAAAGATGATTTTAAAGCATTTGAATGTTATGAAAAAGCAGCAAATGTTGGAAATAAAATTGCACAATTAAATTTAGGTTATTTTTATGATAATGGTAGAGGAACGGAAAAAAATAAGGAAAAAGCGATTGAATGGTATGAAAAATCTGCAAATCAAAAATGTAGTAACGCACAACTTTTTCTTGGAATATTATATAAAGGAACTAAAAAAGATTCTAAAAATTCATTTGAATTGGTTGAAAAAACAGCAAAAAGTGGAAATAAAATTTCACAATTTTATTTAGGTAAATATTATTATCATGGTACAGGAGTTAAAAAAGATTATGGAAAATCATTTGAATGGTATGAAAAATCAGCTAAACAAGGATATAATGATGCATTATGTGCTTTAGGATATTTATATTTAAAAGGTAAAGGTACTGAAAAAAATTTAGGAAAAGCATTTAATTTGATTGAAGAGGCGGCAGAAAAAGGAAGTAAATATGCACAACATTATTTAGGTACAATTTATCGACATGATAAAGGTGATATAGTAAAAGCAATTG